ATTTCCAGTAACTGGTTGGCTATATGTGCTCAGAGTGAATCCAGAGGAGAGCAGTGTGTGGCATTCCATGTTCGGTTCCTTGAGAAACCAAGACAGAGCCAGATTCCCTCTGTGCTCTTCAATCAACATTGCTAACAAAACGTTTTTTTGGAGTGTGGCGCAGAAGACACTCAGTTTGCATGACTGACATTTGGGAAAACTGATGTGGAGACGTTAAGAGAAAGGGAATTCCATTGTCCATTTTTAGTCACTTTTAATGATGGAATTATGTTTCTTAGTTTGTATCAAGTTATTGAGGAGCAAGCTTTACTGAACAGAAATTTATGAGCCTAGAAGTGGGCAAGATGTAGCTACGTGTGCTTGCAGTCCTCTTAAGCTTTGATTTAACTTTTTTGTGAACTGTATTTAAGAATCATATGCATAAAAAACATCTAGAGAATGCATATGAGAGAGAGAGAGAGATGATGCAAAATGTATTCTGTGTAAGAAGTCATTCCTAGCTTTTAACCTTAAATTTGTGCTCTAGCTCCAGATCAGTATTTAGAAAGCGAAAGTGAATATTCTGCTTCCTGCTCAGAGGAGGATGAGGAGGAGGAGGAAAACCCGAAAGAAGTCAGCACTGCTTTACCAGGTCGAAATACCCCTGCAGAAACTAAGGCAGCATCCACACCTCCCAGAAACAACCTAGCCAGAAAGCATAAGGAGGAGAAGATGGTGAGTCTGCAGAAAACACATCCCTGAGGTAGCAGGCACGAGGGAGTGTTCAGTGACAACAAGGTGTCGGTGACCACACCCCACCCTGGGGAGGAACTGCTAGACCCATTTCAGATCAAACCAGCTTTTGTGGGACTTCTGAGCCATCCCTGTTGGACAGGCATGATGTGAGCCTGTGGGTAATCCAGTTTGTATCCTCTGCAGCTCCAGAAGTTCGAAGATGTCTGTGGAGCAAGAGACCTTGTACTGAGAAAGGATGAATAAGTTGACTCTCTACCACCAGAAGAAGCACATGCTACCTTCTCTCTTGGTGGTCAGCTTCACTGTCTGCTTTCCTTCCAGCCCCAGGGATTCCTGTACTCCCTTAGAATTATTGCTGAGTTCTGTTCTCTCAGAATCTCTTCTCTGTCTCTCTCTTTGGGAAAGAACCATCCGACTAGGTTAGCTTTGGCAGAATGCTACTGTGGAAGCCGTTTTTGCAAATATCTTCTGGCTTTCTACTCCTCCTGTATCTCCTATTGGCCATCTTTGTGGGTGCAAAGAGAGAGAGTAGGAGTGTGGCTAAGCTTGCTCTCTGTTTTTAGAGCAACCTGGTGGAGGAATATTTTGAAGCTCACAGTAGTTCCAAAGTGCTCACTTCAGACCGAACTCTGCAGAAGTTGCGGAAGAGGAGACTGAATCAGGTACACTTCATAGCAAATCATGCAACTCCTGGAGCTTTTTATTTCTTTGATGAAGGTCTTGCTGACTGAAATTTACTGACATTGCTGTTTTCACTTTATTTCTGCTGATTACATTCTTGGTGGTAAGGCTGATTTAGGTACTGTTTTAAGGATTAAGTCTCCCACTGGTCCTCTGAGCAGGGCAGTGCCCAGCTGTTTGAACCTGAGACGGTAGTGGAAATGCAGGGAGAAGGCACTATCAGGTGAGCAGGTAGTTGAAAGCTGCAGTTGCCAGAACAGGTTAAACTTTTCTTTTGGGGGAAGAGAAGAGGGGCAAGCAGAGTTGTAGAGACCTACCTTAAAAATTGTCACCAAAACAGCATTTTTGTCAATAAAATGCTTAGGTGAATTACAAGGTCTTGGCTATTTATGTGTAGGGGAAGTTGAGAGAGTCCTTTTCATCTGACCATTACTATGTCAAGCCACATGCAGCACTGGGAGAGCTCTAAATGTTGTCACCTAGTCTGTGAAATGCATTTTGTCCCAGTTCCTAGGAGACAAGAACAGTCTAATTGTGAATGAACTACTGGTGGCTTTGTTTTCCGTGTGCCACTCGTAAAAGACAGATCAAAGCAGGCAGTTGCAGCCTACAGGAACCAGTGCCAGGGAAGTGTGTAAAGCTCTCGTATCTGTGACTGCTTTTTGCGTCCATCTGTATCTTAAAAGATGGCCTGTATGCATACTGCCCGATGCCGGCTCCTTTCTGGAATTGCTACCCAGGGTAACACCTGGATTTTTAACAAGCTCTTGCATAACACCTCTGGAAGGAAATCAAGGCTTTCAGTATTAATCAATTGCTGGCTCCAGAGAAACTGAAAGCTTAGCAGTTCTGTCTCTCAATGCTTTGTGTTTGTTTTGACACATTGCAGCTCTCTCTGCATTCTTTCCAGAGTAAACTGTCTTCCACTGCAAGGGAGTGGAAAACAAAGCTGTTAAAATTGAAGAAAAAGGGAGGCTGGTTTAGATGTGATGGCATTTGTTATGCTACTATGTTGTTTAAACATCAGCATTCCAGCGTATCTTTAAAGCTGGATTAATCCTTTGATTGTTGATGCTTTTGAAATAATAACTTTTTCTACATTTAGCTGTCAGCTGCAAATTATTTCATTTCTGCTGTATTTCTTCAGGGCAGTGTTTGTAAGCATTCTCTTTTAGAGGCAAACACCTGAACCATTTCTAAGCCTGTCGGCTGGAGCCCTTGCCCCTGTAAGCAGGGTTGTGGTGTCGGTGTCTTCCTGACGCAGTGCCTGGTGCTGTGTTAAGCGCCAGATGTGTCCGCGATTCCAGTAGTGCTTTTCCAAAACTCGGCAGGAAGGGATAAAACACCGCGCGATATCAGTTCTAGTCCTAGTCTGGCTGCCACTGCCCACAATTACTTAATCTCTGGTTTGTTTCTCCAGTAGTGAAACTGTGCTTAGCAGAGTCTTTGTGGGGAAAAAAAAACACAGCCCACAAATGGAGTGTACTGTCAGTAAAAACTATTTTGCTCCCTAGCTAGAGAGCATACTAGAAGGATATTTGTAAGGACTGTAGATTTCTGTCTTATTTTTCCTCAGCTTTGGATGACTGTTGTCTTACCTCTTTCTGAACACAGGAAACACTGCATGACCTTTTGAGAAAAGCTCCCCTTGCCTATGCTGAAGAAATTAAAGAGCTAAACCAGCAGCATGAATCCCTGTTTTCCAAGTGGATGCTGCAATTACAGTAAGTATCCAGTGAGAATGACTGAAGAAGCCTCGGAAACAGGCACTACCCTCATGTCAGCAACATCCTCTGGATGAGTTAAGGAGCCACTTTCTTTCTTTGATTGCTTAGATTTAAAATTAGGTGACATTAATTTAGTACAGTGTTTCCTGTAGACTAAATCGTACCTGACTAACTCCTTGAACTGAATCCCTGAAGTGAAACGAGGTTGCCTTCTGCCTGGCTGTTTTGTGTGTGCTTTTGTTAACCAAGCTAGAGGGTATTCACAAGGAGGGAAGATGAATAGTGAGAAAACAAGGAACGCGTGTGATGAGAAAAGTGTCCTTTACGAACAATCAGTTTTGCTTACAGCAACGTAATTGGTAGTGAGAAGCCCACAGTAAGTGGCTATCACCAGTGGTGTAGCAGTTGACTTAGAATGCCTGAAGTACCTGGTGATCTAGGCACAAAGAAACCCTAATGCTTTTGGAGATGTTAAGAGTATAAATTTTATCTGTGTTTGTGTGTAACTGTGGGAAGGAGAAAAGATTAAGCATCCAGGGAAGCAGATGGGGAAGTACAGAGAGCTGTGAGATTCTGAAGCGCCTCACAGAAGGCAGGCAGCCAGCTCTGAAGTGCTGAGGCAGGAGGTTGGTGAGGAGAAAGCCCCTTGGAAGCTCTGCAAGGGAGCGAACTATAAAGAAATGGGAACTGACTGAGCATATGAAAAAGACGTCAGTTTTTCAAGTTGGAGAGTTGCAAGAGGAGGAATTCGCTGTGACTTGGTGATCTGGGCAGATGGTTGGAGATAATATGTGGCCTGGGCAAATGTGTGGAGATAGACGTGGCAGGGTAGAAGAAACAAATCTGTAGGTGACGCTGAAGTGAATGGCAGTTGTTGAACGCCTTACCTTTGCCTGGTGTTATTTGAGTGACCTGATACTCTTCTTTCTGGTCAAGGTGATGCTTTTCCAGCTTCTCAAAAATAAACAAAGCTTTGCGATTCCCTGCCATGTTCTCATTTTGCTTTCCTGCCTCTTTCTCTGTGCAACAATTGGGATAAGAAAAAGGATGAAAATAGTTTAATTTTTCTTTGAAATTGTGCCTGTGGATCAGAGTACAAAACTGCTATGTAGGCTTGCTTTTTTTTCTTGTAATTACTGTGACCCATAGTAAACATTTAATATAATCACTGGTGAGGGGGTGAATATGAATGCTGGTTACTCTTCATTATTTGAAGTTGCAGATCTGGTCTCACGTTCTTGGACAGTACCATTTTGTTCCATAGACATTTTGCTAAATTTGTGGGCCTTCAGGCTGCTAAAACACTTCTTTTACTAGGATGCATGTGTCACATATCGGATTCCATGCAGCTTATCTTTTTTGTCAGCTGTGAGACAAAGATAAGCCTGGAATTGATGAAACATGAAGTTTTTGGAGGCAAGATTGCAATGGATCATTTTGCTTAAGGAATGTATGAACTTAAAAAGGAACTTGTACTTTTTTTGCTTCAATGAGTTTGCTCAATTTTCTGCAGCTTGGGTTTCAATATCGTGCTTTATGGACTGGGCTCAAAGCGTGATTTGTTAGAGAAGTTCCGTACCTCTATGCTCCAGGATTCTGTTCACCTTGTGGTTAATGGATACTTCCCCAGCATCACTGTGAGATCTGTAAGTGTGGGAAAAGCTAATGGCTTTGTCTAATTATCCTGTGTTACAAATACCTCTAGAGTCTTTCAACACAAAATATTAAGGAAATTTGCTGCAACCTATTGCAGCAGACTCTTGAATGAAGAGTAATTCCTGGTTTTTTAAGAGTTTAAAGAATTGCCTTGATTCCCATCATGAATAGATACTCATCAGTCTAAAATATTATTTTATTTCACTATTTTGAATTTTTCTGTTTGTGTTCGCTGTTTGGAGGATTTGATGGTAAAAATCAGATTACCTCCTTCATGGCAGTCAAGGGCTCGGTTTCAGATTTTCTGCACTACGTCCTTCAGTGCCAGGGCCCTTCAGATGGGACAGCTGTTTTCTTTTTCAGATTCTCAGCTCTGTCACAGAGGAGGTACTGGACCATGTAGGGACCTTCTGCAGCCCCCTTGACCAACTTGAATTCATCAATAAAAAGTTTAAAGAAGGTAAAATTACTAACTTTGTATGTGAAAACGTTAGAGTCCACTTATTATTAGGAGAGCCTGGATATTTTCTTTCCTCATACTTTTCATATGTGCAGTTAGTTTCTTAATTTGTTGTAGCTAGCATATGTTCTTGCTTGTAATTTATGCCACATATATGAAGCATTTATATACCCGGAGTATATGTGTGCGTGATTCCCAAGCAGTTACCTCAGTCAGTGTTTCATGCTCCAAAGTTCTCTGGAAAGGGCAGGAGGCAAGCACAAGTGTTTTAATAAGACAGGAGCTCCTCAGCCCTTTGGCAAGCTGAAATGCTGACCTCTCTTGCACTTAGCACAGTGCCTTTGTGCTTTATTTACAGAGTGCTTCTGTAGCCTCATATTTCCTGGTGGAAGAGGAGATAGGTAAACCCCAGCTGCATGAGAGAACCTTGTTCTCAGTGGCTGCTTGAGGACCTGATATAAACCTTGTTAAAATCAACAGAATGAAGAACTCACCAACAATTTGGAATGACAGTCGCTGACAGATACCAAGTCCTTTGAGCTCCTCTGGAAAATCATGGTCTAAATTTCAGTATTGGCTGGGTTGAGCTTTAAATATGCATGGTTTAGTGGAAGGGTCGTTTAAATGTAATACATGCAAATACTGACATTAAGATGAAATAAAGGAAAGCAGCATCAAACAAGTGGGTTAGAATTAGGTTCAAAAGCAAAATCAAACAGGTATTGTCACACAATGCTTGCTGAATTATTTTTGAACGTCTGTTTTACTGCTTGTGTGTATATACACAAATTGCCACGAGTCTTAATTCCGCATGGTGTAGTGTTTACGTTCTTTTTTCCATTGTTACCTAATGAGTATTTCTGGTGGGACTGAGTGAAAAAGATTGATGAACAGTGGTACCCACCCAAATCTACAGAAATCAGTCTTGTGTAGTACACTGTAGCTGATCTGACTGGGAGTCTGAGGAACCTTTGGTTTCTGTGGCAGCAAAGTATGTATCCATTTGCACAAAAACTGGCTGCTGTTCAGATATTGTTTCTGGATGCAGGAAATAGCTGTTCCCAGGGGTAAGTACGGTAGCAACAAGCAAGCTGGAAATCTTAACATCTACAATTTGCATTATCCGAGATAAGTCCTTGTAACTTCCTTTGAGGACTTGGGAAAGATCTCAAATGAAGATAGTAAGCTCTAGATCCAGGCCTGAATAGAAAATGCATTTTCATTGCGTGAGGAGGAGCTTAAGGATCCTAGTCATGTAACTCAAAAGCAGCTGCACAAACTGTGCTTAGACTTGCATCTTAAAATACTTTTGAATGACCTTGAATCGCAGGACTGAGCCATAGCTGAAGGGGCAATTCCTGGTAATGCCACAAGCAAATGGAAAGCGGAATATAAGAGAAAAGCTTAAACTGGAAAGAGAACTGCAGCTGTGACAAGAACTGCAATGGAGGGGATTGAGAAAAAGCCTTTCAGCTGCTCAAAAGCACCAAGTGTGAGGTAGAGATCAAAGGCAGCTGTACAAGGAAGGCAGTTTGATACCGGAGTGATGAATATGGAGCCTGATGGGATAGACTTGTCCTGGGCTGCACTGGGAATGGGAAACCACTTTTTGTGCAGTTCCTTTAATTGATTCTCTGTTGTTTTTTTCTGATCTTGCAGATTCATCTTTAGAGCTCTATGTCCTCATTCATAACCTGGACAGCCAGATGTTGAGAGGAGAGAGAAGCCAGCAGATCCTTGCACAGTTATCCTCTCTGCCTAGCATTTACCTCATTGCCTCTATCGACCACATCAATGCTCCTCTCAGTGAGTCTCCTTGGGCCTGATGTTTCAAAGAGAGAAGACTCTATGTTCTGCCTTGGGCCTGCTGTGTGTGTTTCATAAGCTTATGTATTGCTGTTGAAGTGCAAAGTAGACCTGGTGATGTATGTGTGGTGGTCACGGCTAGAAGGCCTGATGGAGACTGTGGCTGTGTTGAACCAAAATTGTATAGAGATAGTGAGAACTACCAGTCAGTGCTCATAGCATACAGATAGACACACAGCTTCTGACACCGTTTGATTTAAGGCCTTAGGGAAACGGAAATTAGAGGTTATGTCTGTCCTTGCATCTAAACAGTTTTGTTTATCAGCACACTGTTGGCTCTGGAAGGCTTTTCAGTGTATCTGTGAAGCTGATACAAAATATTTTGTTGCAGAGAATTCGTTTTGTATGAATTTGCAAGCACGTGGCTGTACATATTGTGAATTTCACAAGCATATATTGTTTCCTCAAATCCTACAGTAGCAAATTTTACTGTTGCTTATTTAAAACCTTTAAAAGCTACATCTCCCAATTCTGTCTGCTTTTTCTTTTCTCTCTGTCTAGTGTGGGACCAGGCAAAGCTAAGTCTCTACAACTGGCTTTGGTATGAAACAACAACATTTAATCCTTATGCGGAAGAAACATCTTACGAGAACTCCCTTTTAGTACAACAATCTGGGTCTTTGGCTTTGAGCTCCCTAACACATGTCCTGCGCAGCCTCACTCTCAATGCCAGGTGAGACACAGTCACACTTTGTAGTGGCACCTGCTGAAGACCTAGTCCTTACTAGGTTACTTTGGCCTACACCTGGCAGGAGGCAATCCCTGCTTCCTGACAACAGTATTCAAGATGAAGATGGTAGGACTTGGGTTCCAGCTGACTGGTTCCTTTAAACGAACGATGTTTGGATAGCAATCTTTGTCCAGTGATGAGATTCATGCACAAAGTCCTGGTCACAAGGGAAAAAGCAGTAAATATTTTCTAATGATGAGTTTTGGGGATTGTTAGGTTTGGGTTTTTTCCTTTTGACTTTTGTCCTCTCATCCTTTCACAAAGGGGGATATTCAGACTGCTTGCTCAGTACCAACTGGAGAACAAGGACAACCCATCCTATCCGGGTATGTACCCACCTTTTCTCATCTGTTTGGCGTGTTGCCCTTGCCGGCTCAGTCAGTAGCTCTGGCTTTTGGCGCATAGGTTGCATCACTGACAGCACAGGTGCTGTGACTGTTGGCTCAGTGAGACGTGGTGGCACGGGCTGTCTTTCTAGCAGTGCTGTGTCTGACTGGCAGGAAATCAATAGACTGGCTGGTTCTGCAGGGCCTCCTTTTACTGTTGTCTGCTTTGATATTTAGACATGACTGAGACCATTCATGAGGGACTGTGGAGGTCAAAAATTAAAGAAAGAATATAAATTTGCATAGCTAGCACTTAAAGGACCAGTGAAAGATGAGGTTCTGTTCCCATGTTGCTCATATCCATGTGACTTCTGATGTATCACTGCTTTCTAGGATACGTGTGGAATACTCTGTCACTGTTTCTAACAGGTGCTGCAGGGGACAGGCATAACGTGCTAATGGTAAAGAAAGTTGGAAGTAAGGTGGAGGACCTAGAAATTAAGAGAGATTAACCATGCTGAGAAGTACATTTGAAGTGCTATTAAAATTCCACTAGGCAAACAGGGTGACCAGAACTTTAATTCAGCTGTTTATTTGCTGAAATACTAGCTTGGCTGCATACTTGAAAGACATGATGATATTAATATAACCACTATGGTCTAAGCAAAGCAAGATTTGTAGGTGGAGGTAATATGCAGTGTTAGACCTGGAAAAACCTGACAATCTTACCACTTCAATTTCTTTATCTCACCTTTTTTTTTTTTTTTTTAAAATCTCCAGGGCTCTCTTTCCAAGACTTCTACCAGCAGTGTCGAGAGGCTTTCCTTGTGAACAGTGACCTGACACTCAGGGCACAGCTGACAGAATTCAGGGACCACAAGCTTATCCGGACCAAGCGGGTGAGTTGGGCGAAGAAGGTAACTTTGGGTATTCAGCCACTTCGTGGCTGCTAAGTATCCCTAAGACACCACTCTGCAGCTTACAGTGAGGCTGTACTCTCTGAAGCACCTAGGGACTGACAGAGGGCCGAAATTCTGTAATTGTGGCTTTCTCTATGCCTCGAATCTGTTGATTACACAGATAAGGAGCTGTAAAAGTGCAGCGTGCTTTGGTTACTCAGCATCTCTTTGGTTACTCAGCATCTACAGGGTCTCTTCTTCCTGAGGACCTTCAGAAGTCTGGAGCCTGCCAGTCTGCTTCCAGTAGTTACCTGTATTTACATGAGTGAAGAATAGTCCTAGTAATGAGCCAGCACAGTAAATACTAGATAGGGAACACAGCTTGAGCTGTGTAGTGTTACATTAGCATAGCCCACCAGAAGATTTCTCATATACTGACTTCTCTCAGTATTTGTGGATTTCCAGCGTTGCTCTAGTGAAATATTCCTGGGTTTTAGCAATGTAGTCGTCCTGAATGCAGGCCAGCTCGCCGAGACCACAAATAACCATTAGTGTTGCAGTGCTTTCTGGTGGCTTACATTGCACTGTGTACAGGTGTTAACAGAATGTGTGTGCATGTCTGTTCTCAGGGAGCTGATGGTGTGGAATACTTATTAATTCCTGTAGATGACACTACCCTGACTGACTTCTTAGAGAAAGAGGATGAAGATGTATAACGTCTGTGTTCTCAAAGCATCTGCGGCAGTTGCTCTCAAGGGCTGCTGGAGAGGAGGCCTCATATTCAGATCTCACTCCCTCCAACCCCAAGGCTGCTGAGCTACTCATGTAATTGTAATGAACGATTCTCGTTGTTCAACTACTTCAGGTAGTTTGGAATGATGACTTCCATAAGCAAGACACGTCCTGCTCTGTCGTTAGGTTTGTCTGCTTTGTCTCTTAGCTTGAGTGATGCCTTCTTTGTATCTACGCAGCCAGCCTCAGAGCCAGAACAACAAATTTGGTAAGATTGTGCCTTCTGCTCTATGCCTTGCCAGACGTGAGGGTTTGATTGGAGCAGCTTACTTGGGAAGTGGAAGTGACTAGACTGTCAGAGCTTTCGTTTGTACTAGTGGTCCAACTTCTCTCAACTGAGTGCATTCCAGTGCTCTTTTACCGGTCCGACAACACTAGCTTCCAGTGTGTGAAGAAGCTGAGATTTGTAATGCCAAGAGCCCTGCCTTGACTGCCTGAGGAAAGGAGAATACTAGTGGGTTTGCAACACTGTGGGTAACTTAACCAAATTCTGGCAATAGAACTGAAGGACTTGCCCCAAACCCAAATTCCTTTTCTATACAAAGATAATCAAAACTGTGATGGACTTAAGTCATTACCTGTTGGTGTGGGTGAGAGGATCAAGTTTCTTTCATCCATTTTCCAAGTTGCAGAGGCTGTGAAGTTTGTTTATTTTTTAAATGGTTGATTGTATATATATATTTTTTTACATCAGGAGTGTCCACTGATCCTGGAGGAGGCCTTAAACACTGCTTATAAGCTCTCCCCTTTTTTTAAGCCGTTAGAGGTTGTGACACTGCTGAAGTTTGACAGCTTTTCTTCACTTTTTATCTCAGGTATGTTGTGGGAGTAAGTCCTACAGTTCCATCAACTAGTCTGCCAGCCAGACTTCAGGGACTCTGTGTGTCTAATATTTGGTAGCTGTGTTACAGCTTGATGTTGTAATAGTTCAAATCAATCAAATAAAGTACTTTATTAATAAACTTTGGAGAATGTGTCAGATCCTGCCTATTGCTACTTAAGCTACCATTGGAATCACTAAAACTGGGATCATCCAAGTTCCATAGGTTAGGTGTAGAGCTCAAGAACAAGAACTCTGCCAGTAGGAGATTTGTTCTTGGAAGAACTTGAAGGTACTGCAGCTAAGCAGCAACTACATTCTATTTTACAGTCTCTCCACAGTTCCTCTGAAACCCAATTTATGAGTATCTATGGAAGACACCACCTGTTGTGTTTACGGGTAGTGATATTGTGGTGCATTTTCCGTGCAATTATATCTGGTTTTCTAGATGTGAAATATACTTTAATGACATGCTATAATCATCCTGAGCTGGCCACTTACGAGTTTTGATAAGACTCCCAGATGGCCATGCAGGCCCAGAGGAGGTCTGCAGGAGCTGCCACCCATTTGCTAAGAGAAGGTTAATTTTAAACCAGATTTTGGCTGCTGCTGATTCTGTGATGCAACGTAAAGAAAAATACTATGATTACCTGTGGGTTTCATGTTAAAAGTATTTTATGCTCATTTCATGCTGTTTCTGAAGTTACCCCACCTATGGATTATTTTTTCTGTCTCTTGAATTCTGGGTATGTAGTAAGGTAGCATTTTAATGTCTCCTATAGCAACACAGAACTGTTGGAGCTGGAGGGATCACTTCTGTAATATTTGCCTGTACTTGGGAAAGAAGAAATTTCTTCCTGCTTCCTGTTCTTCAGCTTACTGAGAAGTCTTTGTGGTATTGACTAGAATAACAGCCTTTTTATATCCTCAGTAGCTTCAGGTAATACTGGAGCCACCTCTTTCCACTTAAATTTAAGTGGAAGAAGACACACATAATTTTGCAGTAAAGACATTACTTTATGAGGCAGTTTTATTAACTTAAAAGGATGGTGTCAAGATTTTTACAGATTTGCAATGGAAATATTTCCATTTTGTTTAAATATTCTTGTGTGTACATAATCCAGAGATGGTAAGGTATATGACTAGGAGAATTGAATTTCTATTTAAAAAAAAAACACAACAAAACCCCTTACTTAAAAACTAAGCATTATTGGTGGTGAAAATGCTTATTCAGTTTCCGTAATTCTGTAATGAAGAGCTATAGTTATATAAACTGTTTTAAAAAGGAAGTAACAAAGGCACATTAATTTACAGCTGTATTAAGGAACTGAGTTTTAACCTTCCAGATTTTTTTTAAAAAGCCTTAAATCTGCATTAATGATAGACTGTGCGATGGAATACTAGTACCGAATACCTGAACTGTGTTGCCATATTTGCATATGAGTGGTGTCTTAACAAAAAAGTTAATGCAAACAGGCAATCCACTCTCTTTCATTAACTATTATCGGGAGATTTGGTAGCTGAAATATCAGTGACTTGTACTGGCATGATTCAGCATAACTACAGTAGGGCCGAGCTGCTGTATAAGCTTAAAACTGGAGATAAGTCAAGCTTTCATATTTTACCCAAACCAATCTTTGAGTACCATGGTTATCAAATCTGTCTAATTAGACTATGCCCTAGTAGTAAATTTCTTGAAGTGCAGCCCAGTAATTGAGTTAAATCAGCATTTGGTAGTCCAAAACAAGCATTTATTTATATGACAGAATATATCACACACTTTTGAGGGAACTCATAACACAATCATTCTTTACTGAATCAATTCAGAGCACCTTGATTAACCTTACAAGTCTGTGCAAGGTACCATGAAAGTCTTGCCTGATTTCTCTCACTCCTATTTTTTTTTTCCTATGCCACCTGGAGTGGATCTCTATCTTTCTCAGACACAATTATGTTGATTTTGTTCTGTAGGTGGATAGCTAGCGTGTTGCGCAGCTCTGCCAAGAAACCTCGTTCGGTGTTACTGTGCTCACACAGAATAACACTTATCCCATTGGCCACTGCATCCAGAACGTCGTGGTGGGACATCTCTCCTGCCATTTTGAGAAAGAAATGCCATATAGATCACTAGCAGTACAGTTTAGGTAACCAGTTCTTTGCAATGTATGCAGAATCTTAGCTAGAAGCTAGGAAGACGTAACAGGGAATGCAGCACTATCTGCTCTGTCTGAGAATGCTGAACGCTCCTGCTCTAGTGACCCCTGATTTCAGGCGATTTCCCCTGTATACAGCTGAGACAAACCCGGAGAAATTCCCCGCCGCCTTGGAACAGCGGCAGATCCTGCCTTTTCGGGCAGGAAATAAGAATGCATGGAGTTGTTTGGGCATGGGCTGCCTGGATGTCACGTGGGTTGCTGTGATGGAGGATGGCAACTGAGAAGCCTGGCATAGAAGTTGTCCAAGGGTTGGCTCTGCAGGGCTGACCCCCTCACAAGGCGGAGATGGGGCGCACCTTGCTGAAGAGCTTGCTCGAATTAAGTACTGCAGGAGCAAGCTGGAGGGAGTAGCTGTCCCGCTGCTGGGCAAAAAGATAATGGACCAGGTGTCCCTTTGGTATCACTGTCCACAGTGTATCTCTGTGGGGTTCCTTTGGAAGATGCTGTAGACTATGTTACATTCCATTTTCCTGCAGGGAATTCTGTAGGGAACTGAGGAAATACTTTGTATCTTGCCAAAGGAGAAACACACTGAAGGTTGCAATAATCAACACTGATTTTTTGTGTTGAAATAATGCATGTCTAGCAACATTGTAATTCAAATAACCTTCACTGTGCTGCGCAGCTGCCTGATCCATGTTATTTCTACTTCAGTGTTTCTCAGCTATAATGGGTAATTCTTAAAAGGTTGGGCTAGATGATCCTTGAGGTCCCTTCCAACCTGGTGACCTATGATTCCATGATTCTTTCTAGCCAAAGCTTTCAACAGCCAGTCAACTCTGTTTTCAATTTTTTTTTCCTAGTGACTATTTTTATAAAGAACAGAACAGCAACATAATCTTTTACCTGTGAGATAGAGGTCAGCTTCTGTCCCCTTCAGGATGCTGCTCCCAGAACCAGCGCACAGAGCAGCCTTCTTCACTGGCGATTCTGCAGGAATACAAGGTGCCACAGTAAAACTCCATTCCCTCTGCTCAGCCCTCATGTCAGTATTGCTATTAATTGTTTCACAGTAACTACTACCTTGATTTTAGGGTCAATGTATATATGCTGAAGGAAGAGACCCATCAGTCAGTTTGAAAAGAGTCATGGGCCTGTAGTATCTCTGATAATTCAGCAAAATCCTCTCTGTACCAAAGAGATGTGTAGACTTTTTTTTTCCAAGGAGTAGGAAAGTTCACAGTACAAGCATGGAGGCTGGCTGCTGGCTAGCTCTTTCCTAGTGAGGTGTTACTGATCTAGGTTTCTGAACCTTTTGAGAGGCTGCTGCTCCTTCCAGGACTCTTGTGTTCCACCATCATTAAATTTTCCAGTTAACGATGCCACTGAGGTAGCATTTTGCCTCTGAGATAGGCTGGTTCCTAACCTCCATCTTGCAGACAGCCAGTCTCAGTGCAAGCCAAGAGCTGCTCCATGCCATCCAAAAAGCTATGATTGCAGATTCCGAGCTATTACATGTGTGATAGTGACAGGAAATGTCACTACATGTATTATGTTCACTAGGGAGAGGGACATATGACGGAGGGAGAGAGAGAGAGCTTTCCAATTCCATTAAGGTTTTACAGTATGTTGCCATGTAATTACTGTTCATTTAAGAGGAATCACACCACTACAATCCCACACCATAGTGAGAGGCTTCAAAATAGTTTGGGGTTTTTTGTAGTGCAACTGATAGCATAAGAGGTTTCTAGTAAGACTTCTGTCTCACATGTTACCAAGAGCTCTCAACAAACGTGGTCTCACAAATTCTAACAGTTGTACTCCTTGGAGATTAGGATAGGTAACTGGGATAAGAGGATGCTTGCTCCATGTTTTACTAGTGACTCACTGTTTGAGTTAGGATAGTTCATCTTATTTCTCTTGCATCAAAACATGGATAGTCACATGTTCACAAGGATACCATAAAGTGTCTGTTTTAAGGTGGTTCAAAATTTAACATTCAGTCACAAAAGGGGGTGTGCAATGAAGTGGCACGCATTTGTGTCTGATATCCCAGGGGGGTAGGAAATCTCAGTCATTATACAAATTACAAAAAAAGACATCTTGTATTCAACTTGTGCTGTCCCTTCTTCACAGTGACAACCAGTATAATACAGAATTTCCAATTAAAAATACAGCTGAGATCGTATCATGTAAATTCTAAAATGCTGCTCCTTAACAGTGCTTCATACTACTTGGAAGTAAACCTGTTGCACACACTCATGCGCACACTCACACTCCTTGTTTTCCTGGAATACTCGTTCTAATAGACAGTCTTACTTGCAGGCCTGTTTACCTAGTGTCTTGCCCATTCCTAGGGCTAAGCGGACGTGGGGTAATTTTAGGTGGCTTTTGATACGCTCAATTATGTCTGACAAGGAGACCGGCTCACTCAGTGTGCACAGACGTCCCATTCCAGTATGGGGAAGAGGAGGCTGAAAGGAAATTAAAATCACAGTGAGAAAGCTGAGTGTGTTGGGCATCCAGCAATGCCTCTGAACTTCATGAAAAAAATGTATGTGGCATTCTCGAATGTAACATACTAACTACACTAGCTATTGGAACCGATTTAGGAATTAGTACAGGCCACACAGCTATTTTGTTGTTTTGGAAAACATGTGTGGCTGCAGCTCTCCACAGGTCAGTATTTCAGAGCACTGACAGGGCAGCACAGGAAACCTGTGATGCTACTGAGCACTAGATTTCAGCGGTTAGGGCACTCAGCTCACATAAGTAATAAATTCACTGGAAGCAATATGTGGTTGTGTTACCTTTTGTAATAAGAGAATCTCAGTCTTGTGATAAAGAAGGCTCTTCTGGGACAGTAATGCCACCACCTCCAACAGCGCTTTCTGAGAACAGTTTAAACTGACTCGTGTTTGCTCCTCACCTTCAACCCTGAGGAAAGACATGCCTGGTGCTTGCTAAGAAAGTAGACAAAATTTGGGGCACATATTAATATAAACGAAAGCTGTTCTATCCCAGTGGCTATTCTACCAGTGAGAAAGGAAAAAAAAGAAGGCACTGTAATAGCCTAGCCTAGTCTAGTCCACGCTCTTGGAAGAAACAGATACAGGAATAAGTGTCCTCATCAAATCTCTTATCTACCACCTCTGAGTTGCTGTTACCATGTAGTATAATATAGATTCATCAGAAAGGGGTGATTATTCTTTAAGTTTCTAGATCTGTTGCAGAAGAAAACAGCAGCAAAGCAGAGAGGAACAACAGTAAAATACAATTTCAGCAACTTACTGTTTCAAACAACAGAAAGAGTACAACACTAGAGAGTGAAGCAAATACCTGGCAGGGAGAGTAGCGAGACAGGAGATCCCCTGAATGTCTTTGATTTTGGACAGCATCATGTCCAGGTCTTCAGTGTTGTCTGCACAGAATTCTACCCGGTGAGTACCCTCAGCTGGATAGCTGGGCGCAGTTGATGGATGCAGTGGGACAGAAGTACAGGCACCTGAGAAAACAAAAGATTGCTGGTTTATAAAGTAGGGCAAGTATCCTAATACTGACTTAGCACATATTCTAAAGAGATGCTACAAAAATATGCAAATTTTGCACAAAACCAGTGAAGTTTCTGGTTTGTAAATCAGGCTGGAAAAGACCATAGCTGTTTTCATTTATGAACTACAACACAGGATAAGAGAATTTCAGATACTTGAAGTCCTTTGCAAACAACAGAGAGAGAGCTGGGGCTGTGCAGCCCAGAGAAGAGAAGGCTCCTGGGAGAGCTTACAGCGACCTCTCAGTACCTGAAGGGGCTACAGGAAAGCTGGGCAGGGACTCCTGATCAGGGAGTGTAGAGATAACGGTTTCAGATGGAAGGAGGGTAGATTTAGGTTAGATAGGAAGAAGAAATTCTTTTCTGTGAGGTCGCTGAGACCCTGACACAGGTTGCCCAAAGAAGCTGTGGCAGCCCTCTCCCAGGAGGTGACTTTGAGCAACCTGGTCTGGTGGAGGTGTCCCTACCCATGGCTGGGAGACTCTTTAAGGTCCCTTCCAACCCAAACCATTCTCTGTTAAATTAAAGGTGGTGATTTGAAGTCAGTGGTCTAAACTTTGCAACCAAGATGGACAATAAATATGCTGTCCTGGTTCTGTGACTACATCCAGTAATACCGTCATGCATATGAAAATGTCCTTGTGTTTGCATCTGGTATTCCTCACCAAAAAAAAATTGCCTGAAATAGGTTTACTTGTAAGTACTAGAAGAATATTGGGGGGGGAGTGGGGAAGATGGTCCTCAAGTCACACCTGTAAAAGGAAGGAAAATAAGGGAAGGTCCCCACATAATACAGCATATAGCCATGAATACTTTTAATCAGTTTGTTTGTTTTTGAGGATCTCACCAAGCCCCTTTGTCAGCCAGTGATTGACTCCCTGAGGAAGGGCATCGTACGCTGTGTGTGGCGAATAAATCCCGATCCTGTGCTCCAGGGCCCACCCAGCCGCTCCTTCCAGCTGCTCCACGTCACCCGCTTCAGCGGCGCGAATATCGGCGGGTGGTAGGAAAGGACCAGGCCTGCCTTCTTCTGCACTGCCTCCTCCATCACCTCCTCAGTCAGGTCGTTGGTGAGCAGC